TCGGTCTTCGTATGGAGAATGGCAAACTAGCCGTTAAGTTATGGATTCAGGGAGTGTATCCAAAGGGAGTACGGCGGGACAGAAGTCTTGGTAGTCACCTGCTACTATGGTGGCACTACTATAGTTTATGTTTGTCTTCAAACTTTCTGCTGGAATGGGCAGTGGTCTATGGCTTCTGTTGGGATCCCTCCATCTTCGAACTGTCCGCCTTGATGAGTGTCGATCGGGTGATCGACACTCATCGAGGCGGTTTTATCCTTCTAAGGTGTAAGAATTTGGTCTCATGACTTTGTTTTATAACGATGACACCTTTACTGTGTCATCGACAGGCTGACTAGGACAGTGGAAATTAGACTCGTTGTTTTCTTTTCGTCGATGAGTTGTTTAACTGTCGACTTTCTTACGCGTCAATAATAAGTTGTTATAACTTTAGTTCGGAACTTGCTTAGATCGATGAGAGGGACTTGTTGTATCAAAGACCCTCCCTTTAACATGAATTTCTTTGTTGAGTGTTTATTGTTAAAATAACACATGCTCGTCTATTTTCTAATTCCGTGGAAAACGGATGAGAACAAAGAAAAGCTTCTTATAACTTAGCTTTTGCTAAAATTTACGAAAAAACAACTCCCAGATTCTCACGAAATAAAGAGATGGAGCCAGAGCCTTACGAATTGTGCAGAATTTTTATCAGATAGTGCATTCAACATGGGGGATGCATAATTCTGTTTGGTTAAGACTAAAAGCTATATCTCCTTCATGTGTTCAACTCAAGTGTGTGTGTCATTCGTTGGGACTATGCATTCAGCATTCAGCATCCAAACTCCCATCAAATATTGGGTTTTTATTGGCAGAAATAAGAAGTTAGTTTTGCCATAGCGAATTACGAAGAAATGTATTCAAGAAATTATTTGCAGCTCTTCTCCAGATTTTCAGCAGACCAGAACTGAACTACTTCCATTTGAAAGTGTTAGGCCGATTGCATTTTGATGCAAAATATAAAGCAAGACTCTTAAAAGAAAAGCTATTTGATTACAAAAATAACTAGCATTTTAACTTTGCGACACATATTGTACAGGAAATTGAAAAGTTGAACAGCTTTTTCCAACAAACTAAAGCTGATCGTAATGAACTGTATAAACAACTTTTCTTACATCAGTAGAGTATTCAGAACAGGTTGTACGATGTCAACAGGTAAAAGAAAAAAATTCATGAAGTTGATTTTTGGTGCCATATTCATAATGGCATGGAATAAATTCCTATAGAACAAGAGTGTTGAGTGTTGTTCATAAATTAAGAACGTCAATGGAAGATGCATGGCTATGCTTGAAGCTCTCAATTAAGTCACACGTAGACTTCCATCAGCAAGAGACATTTTTCAGAGTCTATCAAAATTAAGCCCTGGAATTGTTTTAAATCAAGCTTCAAAACCTGCGTTTTCTGACTTACCGTTTCTGTATCGTGCAAGCAACACCAACATAATTGAAGAACAGTACCTTGTGTTGACTGGCAAGAAGAAGCTCCGTTTAAGAATGATGGACTCCCTGTAAACACAGAACAATTTTGGATTGGTGTGCTTCAGCATCATGCATTTAAAGGAGCTAGCAACCTTTGCCCTTACTTGTCTGATAACCCCTATATGCAATGCTGTAGTTGAAAAGATATTTTCTCTTTTATCCTCTGTGAAAACGAAGGCAAAAAACAGAATGCAGCTAAATCTTCTTCATGCGATTGTTAAAATCAGAGCTTTTAGAGTAATGTTGCAAAGACTTTTCTGCATCTACAGAAATACTAAAAAACTTTTCAACAGACGGTGTATACCGAATACCGTTCAAGGTGTGAAGGATAATGATCTAGATCTGGAGTTTTTCTTGTGATTGTAATAAAAATATATTTTGTATTTGATTTGTATTGTGTTCTTTTTATACTTTTTGAATATTATATCCTATTTCATTTTTGTTCCAAAATACTTTAGAACAAAAAAGCAATATGAAATTTAATTTGGCTTTTTTAATACTGACTGTACTCATTTTTAGTTTTTTTTTCTGCACTGTTTGGCCTTAAATTAAGATTAGGTTTTGGCAACCCTGGTCACGACCCACGAAACTCATTGTAAATTCAGGTATGAAAACACAAGGTAGAAGTAGAAGAACATTCTCATACAAGATTTCACATTTTAAGTTATACTCTATAATATAATGCAAATACTCTATATAACGTGAGGTAGATGTAGTCTGCAATGAAATATTTATTAAAATAATATTTTTTAATTAAGTATTTTGATTAAATATCAAATATTCATCTAATAAATTTATATATGTTATTACTTTTTATTTATTTTTTCATTACTAGAGAGATTCGTATCAGGCTCGATATAGTGAAATTCATTTCGTGAACTTGAATATCGTCATTAAGGCCGTTCTAAGCATCTTTATTCCACTTTTACCAAGTAAACTAAGAGACAGAGTAAGTACGAATACCTCTAAAAATTATTAGTTTACTTCAAATTTTATGTTTATTTTTGTTAATGTTTCTCTTTCACTTATATAAATAAGCAACACGTGTGAACAGATCAATTATTATTTGTATTTCTTTCGATATAAAGTGTTTATTTATTGGTTTTAAGTACTGTCTTGTCATTTACAAGATATTTACAAGTTTCTGTGAATTCGAAATTTCACACCTTTATGGGAAGTGACGTCAATTTACGTAAACATGTGAAATTTCGAATTTGCTGCATAATGTGAAAGAGTATCATAAGTATAGTATATAGTATATAGTACATAACTAAACACGTGTTTGATGGCAAAGATTTGTTTAATTTTGGCAGACGTTTTCAATTTATTAAATAGGCCATCTTCAGGCTGCATATTTCTTGGAACATCTTTACCATTAGATATCGTTTTAAAATAGAATACAAGAATAATAAGGTTAAACTATTTGAATACAAAGCAAAAATTAATGTAAATAATGAATAACAGTAAAGTACAAAATAAATAACTGAAAACAATACAAAAATTATATATAGTAAAAAATGAAGTAATAAAAAGCGTTAGAAAAGTCCTCGAAAATTACACGAACATTGTTCTACCTAAGGAAGAATTACGGCAAACTGAATTCTGGAACTTGAGGGAGAAATTTCAGGAAAAAACTACTTCAGATGGAAATCAGTTATACAAGACCAAACAAAGAAAACAAAGAAAAGCATTAGCAACAAAGATATAAAACAAACGCGAGAATAATTGAGAAACAATGACTTGGTCTTAAGAAGAGCAGAGAAAAGCAAGCATTTGTTATTATGAAAAGAGAAACTCACAACAAAGGTTTGAAGGATTATACTAAAGGAACAGAATGCGAACAGATTATTAGAAAAATTATTGAACGCAACGAGAGAAGAGTTAAAAAACGAGAAGAAAGTAAGCTAGACAACGTATTAACTTTCCTTAAAAATGTCGGAATAGTAGACCAGGAATGCCAAAATAATTGCTTTCGAAAAATACATAAGCTCGGTGAAGAAATAAGACTGACATATATTCTTGAAGAACGATTTCACAAATACATTTTCACCAATCTGGAAAACATTGTATATTGGTTATTTGTATATTGTATATTTGTATGTATATAATTATATAATATATAATATTACATAATATTAAATATTGAGAATTTATATTCCTCAATAAAAGTTAAATCATATTTTGCAGCACTAATGGAATTTATGTTTTTAAAATCCCAGAATTAATTACTCTATTCACATGACAGATTACGCAAGATTGGTATGCAATAAATTAATTTTTAGTTTTAATAACCAAATACACAGACAAAAAAGTTATCTTCATGGGAAATTCCGTATCAAAATTCTTATGCGAATTAGTGATACTGAAACTGGAAAAATTATTTTGAATGGCTTCAAAGCAGACAATATATATTTTAAAATATATGTGAATGGTGTATGTATAATTTTAAAGAATAACAATGCATAAATTCAATTATTGATAAGGTTAACGAAAACAAAGACGAGCTGAAATTGAAGATAAAACAAAAAGATCACTACATTTTTTGACATGAATATAGAATTCAAAAGCTAAAAATATACAAAACTGTGTACATCAAGCCGACACACAGCTCACTGTATATCCAACTAGCGGCATTCCGGGCACTCATCAGAAGAGATTTTTTATATTATGATAATGTAATAGACAGAATGTAGGAGCGGAACAGAATCAAACAATTGGCCACAACACTAAGATATGGAACTTACACGATAGAAGGTCTAACTAGAAGGTTTGGAAAAACAAACCTAAGACAAAAACGGCAAATCTAATGGAATTACGAAATTTTCTTTTAACAGAAACATAAGTAACATCATGAAAGTAATCGCAGAACGTAAAGGGTCTAGTATGTTTGTAAAAAAGCCCTCAACCATGTCTCGAATTTTAAGTAAAAAACGGATAGATTAAAAAAAGAGGCAGGTGTGTATAAGGTTTGCCAAAACTAAACGATTTTCAGAAGCCAAAAAGTTGTTTAGTGATATATGTATAATTTGTTTTAGAATCTTTTGTAATGTAGATATATAACTCAGATGCAGTTACGTTAGCTTTTTGTAATAGCCTTTTTGTATTTTTTGTTACAAGATAGGACAAAAAATACAAAACTAGCTACTATAAAAAGCTATCGTAACTGCATTTGAGTTACTTTTACTTTCAACCATATGCTACGGTAATAAAGGTGAATGTAAAACTGTATTCATTAAAACAGGTGAATTATGATGCTTGTATAATCAGTCGTGTCTATAAAATAGATTTACATAAGACAAAGAAAGTTATAATTTTTAATGAATGTTTTGCAAATTTTCTTTTCTAATCAATGTTTTATAAGGAAAATAAATTTAAAAAGTACCTTGTAATGCTGTATAGAAAAGGCAAATTAGAACAACCCACAATTGTTGATAAATCCTATTGTGTTTTGAGTACCAATTATATTAATTGATTTTTAAATTACAGGTGCATCTTCATTCTGACATGTCAACATTACACGAATTTATCAGTCCCGATTGCCTGCCCTTAGAATACGGAGGAAATTTGCTAAGTTTCGATCCAACTGCAGCCAATAATATGATTAAAGCTAACGAAGAATTCTTTCGAAAGAACGAAGAATATGTAAAGTTGTACGAAGAACAAAGAAATAAGAATTTCAGCCAAGGCACATTTCGCTACGTTCGTGAAGAAATTGAAGACGAAAAGTTGAAGAAACTGATAGAAAAATCTGAAGAAAGATTTAAATCTTATTCACACGATCCAGAAGCATTTTTGGCTGCTATGAAAGAAGATTCTGAACTTGAAATTACACATTTCTAAGCGATATAGACTCGTCTTGTACTGTACTGTACATTCATGTAAACATATTTGAATTAAATCTCTAAAATAATTTGTATGATAACAGTTGATAATAAATGAGATATGAAATATAAATATAAATTTCATTGATTTAAAATTTATACATATTAAGACATTCATTTTTGGAAGCAAATGTTAAGAAAAATTCGAATTTTTGAAAATTCTCAATGATTTTAATAATAACTTTTCTACTTCTCATCGTACATTTATCATAGCCTATCTTAAAATGTTATACTTTTAAAATTTATATTTATGTTAATGTATCTTTTCGTTGGAAAATGACAAATCGTTGAAATTTTTAATAATTATATAAAATTATTTATTTCTGGTTTTTTTTTATCTTAGTTCGCAAAATCATCAAATATATGAAACACTAACAGATGAGCTCGGCCTTGCCCGTACAAAAAATAACAACAGCAAAGATTAAGATTATTACATGTTTTTATACTTCTAACCTTTCTATTATATTACATTATAATATTTGATATATATTTACAAAGGTTTTATTACGTAAGTGTTTATCACACCGAGTGTCCACTCTAACACATTGAAAAATTTTTTTAAATTGAGTGCGGTAGAGGAATAAAGAACTATTAAAATATACGAGATTGATCACTCTGTGTAATATGCCCTTAAGTAAGATAATCTCTGTAGTTATATAAATCAAATACTAATCGTTGATCTTTTCGTAAGAGAGAGGATGCTCAACCACTACTAATTAATACTGATCTCCTGTCAATATTTGAAAAGTGATCCGTGTTAGACAGGTTGCGATGAACCCACGTGTGTTCCAAGTTGCTAACTTTAACGTCCGAAGTACTTCGTGTAAAACTTGTTTAAGGAATATTTCGGGTGGTAGTTCAAGTCCCATCCTGATCATTCGGCCTCTTTATTGTAATTGAGAACATTCATACGTAGAAATTACGTAAGAATTAACTTTTACTGCATCTAACACAAGCGATAAAATACATTTGGATATGTAAGGATGTATTTGTACAAATGTGTTGTGAGAATTAATAAAAATAGTGTTTGCTTATGATCAGAAGATTACAGATGCTGCCATACATGAAGGCATTCCTTGCAGCTACTGGGCACAGAAAAGGTGATCCTTATAACTGTCGGCACAGACATGACATACATTCGCTCGACATTGATCTTGTGTTTTGTTCAACTATAAATCTCACTTTCATTATGGCGAAAGCAGTGCATTATTTTTTTCTTTAAATCCGATAAGGCATGCTCAATCCCGACAATGAACATGGACAGTATCATTTGGACCCCACTGTATTTAGAAAAATAAGGTAATGGACCCTCAATTTTTATTAAATTTTTGGGTGAAACTTTTATTGAGTTGAGGAATTGTACTCAACAATTAATGAAAAATGACAAAGTTTAATCAAAAGCGATCGATAAAATTTAACGTCAAACACAAATTTAAAAGCCACACAAGAAAGATTCAGCAAGGTCCCGCTCAAATATTTCGATTGCATGTCTCTAAAACATTCTCATTGGTGCATTTCATGTTAAGACAGGAAACAATTGATCACAAACAACAATACAATTTTAATAATTAATTTGAAATAATATTGTAACTACAATTGTTGATTTATTGAAAGCAGGATTAAAATACAAATGGTAAGTGTTGAAATCTTTAAATCATATTTTTAAAACAACTAAATAAAAAAATCCAATTATTGTGGTAATAGAATAGTTTATATCGATCTCGTTTTAATAAAATGAAACATATAAGTTTTTGTAATATCGATCTTGTTTTTAAAAGGCTTCTACTTCAAGTGACAAAATACAGGTCATTGAATGCATGATTTGTAAAAATCAGTATCCAAATCAACAACTATTCAAAGACCATCTGAAGAACAATCCTGCTTGCAACAAATTAACATGTGACGTGTGTCTAAAACAATATAAGCTCTTTGATAGTTTGAACTATCACAAGCGGACTCATTGGAGTGAAAAGCCATTTAAATGTGATGAATGTGAATATTCTACTATAACCATATCATTATTGAACAGACACAAAAGAAAACATTCATCGGAACAATTTTATAAGTGCAATTATTGCGATTATTCTACTCCATGGAGAGACAGTTTGGACGGTCACCTTTTTCTGACACATTATACAGAGTTATCTTCTACTGATGAAGTATGTATTTCCATACATTTATACTAACCTTTAATATAATAAGTCACAAAGAAACAATTTGATAAAATGTTGTAAAACTTCTAGTGTCTTTTTCCATGTTTGTTCTTTTATTCACAAGCATTCTGATTGTAGTTTGTGCAATGTGTGGTAGACTGGTAAACTAATAAACTGCTTATTTGAAATAAAGAAATTAATATACAGCATACAGAGTAGAGGTATAGAAGCACGTCTGACTTCATAAAACTTTTCTATAAATGAATTAAACGCCGCTTGAACTGTCGTTATTTGAGAATGCCACGAAAGCACATTCATAAATTTTTGAATATTTCAAAACTAATTATATTTCCAATTTTTTATATTATCAAATAACGTTGATCATAAATTATACAATTGTTTTTACAAAACGATCAAATACCGTATATTATACATTATATATATATTACTTTCTCATATTGTATTTATTGTTTACATGTATTTTATTGCAAGTGAATGATGTAATTGTATAATGTTTGCTTTTTATGTGAGCCTTTTCCTCTTTGGTAAAACTGTTGTAATCTAAACTATAAAGAAATGTTTTATTATACACGAAAAAAGTTTAATTTGTTTTCAGTAAAATATAAAACGTTAAAAATATTATTATTATTCGAATAAAGGTTGAAAACCGTGCACCTAAATTATTACATGTAGTTATTAAATTTTTGAAACAATTTTATGCCTTAGCTTCCACCGAGGTATAGAGATTTGAAAAAATATGAATGCGAGTTGTGCCAGAAAGGATTTCGATCAAAATACGCTTTAGAAATACACAAGAGACAACACAAAAGAGAACGTCCATTCCAGTGTGATGAATGCTGGAGAAGTTATGCAGTTAAGTCAAATTTAAAAAGACACATGCGATGGAAACATTCAACACAAGCGAAATTTACATCTCAGGTAAAAACAACTTATTCTTTAAAACGTAATTATGTCCCGAATATTGTATTATAAAGAATTAACTCTCTATCATTTCATAAAAAGCACAATCGTGCAATCAATGACTTAAACGAATATGCTTACTGTTTGTTAGGAACTGAACGGTTACTTGTTGGTTCCATATAAAAACCCAATACTGTCACAAATAACAGAATATTGCGCCATCCATTTTGTTTTTTTTTTTTCTTGATCAGCTGCTCGAGATCTAAATATAAATGTATTTGGATTTTTCATTTGCAGCTCTGCTTATTTCGAAACAATGTTTATAAATACTTTTATGCTAATATCATTCTATGATTTAGTATTTTTGGTACAATGTGCACTTCTTTGGACTGATTTAAATATAATTATTAACCTGACTATGTGATTTAACATTCATAAAGCGATTTAATTAATGTTTGTTAAATTATTTCCATCGGTTGATTGTAACACTCTTTGTTTGTTGCACTGAGATTTCTCTAAACAAAAAATTTATCTTTTTGATAATCACTATTATATAATGATGCATGTAATAATCTACATTATTTGTTATTAGCTTATAATTTTAAACCTTTTCAGTGCAATTTAAAACACAAGAAAAAATGTTGAAGTAAAATTATCTAGTTAATCGCATTTTTCAATTGTTTAGCCATCTCGAAGAGAAGACTCGACCCATAGTATTGCAACCTCTGGACAGCATATTTCACAATCCCTGACTCACTCTCCTGTTGAAGTCTCTTCAACAAAAGTAACTCACGAGGAACATGTTAAAGACAATAATGGACAGAAAACTAGTGATAGGGAGAAAATTACTCGTTCTTCTGAGACATTATGTCAATGTGATCAATGTTCCTTCAGTACAAACTCGAAGAAAAAGTGGTTACAGCACAAGAACAGTCACACTGATAACACTCCATCCACTGCAATGGTAATTTATATATTAATATTGGAAATGTTACTGATTTAAAAAAGCAATCGATTAATTATAAACCATTCAATCATTATTCAATCGATTAATGATTAAATGGTTTTATGTTAACCAATGAGCATGTAAAAAATATTTTCACATTGTCGGAATTTTATAAATATAAGAATATCATGCTCTGTATCAGTTGTGTACGCTCTGAAGTATTCTTGTATGATCCTTATTTTCGAAGTATACTAATATAATAAAAATAAGTTGAATTAAAAAACAATTTTCCGATAAGAAAAAAATTCAGTGATATATTTCCTCTCCCCTTATACATGAAGGCTTTTGATACAGATTTACATTCCGGAAATACTTCAATAACTTGAGAATACGCCAATTCTTCATGATTTGTTAACCGTAATGTTTGAGACTTTCGGTTTTAATGGCAGACAATAAAATTTATAATTTATTAAATATTTAAAATATAAAAAAAATATAAAGTATAAAATTCATAAATAAACCTTTAAACTTTGTTTTCTAAGTCTGTTATGAATTTATCATTATTAGTGCATTCAACATTAGCAACATTTACATATCAAAACACTTTGATATTTAATCAAACTAATGTTAAATCACAATATACAAATGTGAATTTCAGTAAATTAATTTTTTGTTTTATTGACGCGTATACTGTATAAGAAAGAACCATTTACTGTCAAGTGTTTGTAATAATTGAAAACTGAAAGAAAAATTAATTATTTTACACAAAGTGCTTACGTCTAAACATTAAATTGTTACTTTTTACAGGAAATTGAAGAAACAGAAGTTCCAGAAATATTGACAGCAGTTGATCTGATTAGCAGAAGCAGATTGGAAATGTTGAAGGAGGAAAAGAAATTCTTAAATTTGGATAAACCATCGACTTCCAAATAAACTTTACAATAAAAATGTACTTTTGTTTCCTGCACAATTTACATATTTTCAAAATATAGTATCAAATTAAGTAAAATTTTTAAATTTTCGAAAAAAAATTGATGAAACTTCGTAAAAATAAAAGAAATTTATTAAAATTTCAATTTTGTTTTAATTTTTAATAGGAGTTTTATATAGAATAAAATAATTATAGAAGAATTAATGACGTAGAAGAAACAAATTCAGTTCTGTCATGTACAATGATCTGGAACAAAATATACATCAGAAACAGTATTATTCCAGGTGACTAAACAAAAAACGAAAGATTTTGTGCTACATTTTTTATTGTGTAAAAATTGTCGACTATTTTAAATCAATTTGAAGAAGTTGTTGTGTTTAATTAACTAAAGGACGTTCTATACATATTTTAAAATATTTCATTATTACTTATTCGATGTGAATCGAATTTAATACTACTTTATTTATTGTTAGTCATTAGTTCTGGAAGGAGATCGGCGCCGTCACAACGTTAGTTTAATATAGTTTAATACAATAAATACATGATATTGCGTGAATTAAATCAAATTAATATTGTAATGTATAATGTGGATTGCATTGTATTCATTGCAGTTAATTCGGGTCTGTGGCTAGAAAGACAGGGTGGATCGGCCACTTCTAAAATCTTCGGAGCCGCGACTGAACGTTTTTCCAAATGACTATACAGTCAACCCCCTATAACACGGTAGACACGTTCCGGTTTTTATGAATCCATTTTCTACGAGTCCAGCCAATCACAGCCGGCACGTATGCAGTTTACTGACTACGGCTGTTTGAAAGGTTTTCTTCCATAAAATTAATCGATTCTAAACTAATTCGACTCAACATTTCCAAAATACATATAATTTTTTGGGAATAATCAATATAAACTATGATATAACAAAAAATCGTAAGATTACTTACCGAGTGTGCACCGTTCGACGACGCCATTGCTTAAGCTTGTTTTCGTCGTGGAGCTTGTCATCGAATGGCGCTCGCGTACTTCCTGATAAATTATTTTTTTTGCGAAAAATTCGCTGAACTTTGGAGACATTATTAATATAAATATAACTTTTATGAACGTTAAATAATAAATAGTTTTTAGTAGGTCCGCTGCTCGTTTAAACTCAACGGTTTGTACAATATCCGCTATTGGTCTAGATTCGACCAATCCTGTCGCGACACGAATCGGCGATGACGTTTTATCGAATTATAAGAGGTTGTTTAGCATGTTTGTACGAATACTCTCGCAATTTTTTCACCGTGATATAGGAATTCGAACTATAGGAACCCGTGTTATAGGGGGGGTATTCTGTTTATATGTTCATATAAAAACGTAAATAACAAATATTAGATTTGTAACTTTGAATATTTATGTGACTAACTCTATTATTATTAAATATTATTAAAGCTAAAAATATACATTTTTAGATCTTCCTTATAACAGAAATTTAATTAAAGCTGCTTCTTGTATGTTGCGTCAGGGTTGTAAATTTCTGTTACATACAAAGAATATACTAATGTTTTCCTTTCCAATTTCAAATTGATTCGAAATTTATAAGGCAAATTTACGCTTGTTAATTAATCTTCTGATTTTATTTACATATATTTGTATGAGATCTGTAGTATGTGAAGGGAGATTATTCTTTTTTTTTAGACTTTCTTGACAAGGGCTGTTGACAACTGAGGCCAGGGTCATGAGGTATTTATTTTAAAAACGATATCTTTTTCGGAATTGCGATGACATTTGACAAGTGATGTCCATATTACCTTCAACATCCAGCAGTTTGTAACGGACAAATTTTCGGATTAGATTAGGATCGAATGAGTCATGGACCGTGAATGAATAGCCATGGGTTTTGGGGTCAAAAACTCATAATATTGTGGAAAAAGATAGTACTTCACATTGTTACTTGTTGCTGAGAAGTCTGCTGCTACGAAGCAACGTAAGACGAATTGAAACCCCAGAATAGACTGATCATTGGGGTATGGACTCACGAGTGTCAACGATGAAAGTACACGGCTAATATCCTCGTTAGTCGTAACAAATTGAAGTCACCAGTGAGGAACAGAGGTTTGTAATATCTGAAGAGGGGAACCAAAATACAGTAGACCCCCCTATAACGCTTAGATACGTTCCACGCTAACCGAAAATTACGCTGTAGGAACGATTAAATACATGAGCCAATCGCAGCCCGATAGGTGGGAACTTTACGGACTAAGGCTGTTTGAAAGGTTTTCTTCTATAAAATTAACCGATTCTAGACTAATTCCACTAAATATTTCCAAAATACGTATAATTTTTTGGGAATAATCTGTATAAACTATGCTATAAACAAAAAATTATAGGATTACTTACTGTGTACCGTTCGACTACGCCGTTGCTTAAAGCTGGTTTTCATCGCGGAACAGCACACGAAACGACGGCCGCAATTTCTGATAACGAATTTTTGGCAGAAAAATAACTTGACCTTTGGAGACATCATTAATATAAATAATTTTTATGGCCGTTGAATAAGAAGTGTTTCTTTCACAAGAAATGTATAAAATTAGTGCTGTATTAGACTTACGGTACCTAATTTACATACTGTGCAGACGATAATAAACTCAACTTACTAGCCTAAAATCTCCGTAGCGTGTTGCCAGGCGGCAGAAAGCATATATATAATTATAATAAAGTTACAATAAATTAAGTTAATATATAATTATATATACAGTACCTAATTTATATATAATTAATATATAATTATATGTACAGTACCTAATTTATATATAATTTATATATAATACTAAACAGACGATAGCAAACTCAATTTAGCCGCTCCGTAGCGTGGCGCAGGGTCGGAGGAAAGTAGTTCGGCTGCTCATCCACTATTGGTCCAGACTCTATCAATCTTGTCGCGAAACGACGTTATAGGAGGTACGTTATACGAAAGTTGCTACAATTTTTTCGCTACGTTATAGGAATTGTCGTTATAGGAACGTACGTTATAGGGGGGTCGACTGTAAAAATAACGGCTAGTTTTAAATGAAAAGGAAGAGAAAACGATAAGTTCATTGTTCATTTGTCTTACACATAAGGTCCGGCAATAATTGTTTTTTGCAGCCAGAAATTATTATGTATATAATCATATAATAAGAAAGGATAGAGTTGTTTTTAAAGATAACAAAGTTATGCAACTAAAATCAATTTTTCGTAATTTACAAAAGAAAATTAAAAATCTTGAGAAAAAAAAGGAAAATAGTCCCAGGATCTTCGAAAACTCGGGAATGGAACGAGAACCTTTTTCTGTTTTTCTAGAGGATGATAGAAAGTCGGACTTTTTCCTGTTTCATGTATTAACATGATGATTAACTTAATAAATCAAATTAGAAAGGAATTAGAAACTAGACTTTATAAACATGGGAATACGTTTGCAAATACAAAGTTACTCCAATTTTTCGATAAGTCCTATGCTTCCGAAAGGTTTTATCATTCCACAAAAGTTAATATCTTGGCCTGCATTTGATCCACAAAATATAAATATTTGGCTTAAAAATCTGCAAGGAATAAAAGAATGTCTCCAATTATACGATATAACATTTATTTCCACAGTAAAGCTTCAATCAGAAATAATCTTGGTAAAAACAATTAGGCTAGAAGAAGGAAAATGATATGAATTGACCTGGACTAGGTTGAAAGCACAAATCAAAAAATGGTTTAAAACATATTCCATTGTAAAAAGTAACTAAAATGTATGATAGCGTTTAAGAGAAATTAAAATTAGTCTTTTCTTATGTTTTCGATAAATTATAATTAATTAATTGTTTGAATCATGAATATTCAGAAATAGAAAAAATCGGACTATTAAACAATGGCCGCAAAAGCAAGAAAGAATGTCTATTGCAAGTAAAACATTGAATACTTTTAGATCATTTTAACAAAGCAATTACGGAAATGGACTCCATCACAAAAAGAGGGCTCAAAAATACTATACCACACATCCTTTTTTTCGCGATTTTTTGACAGATAAAACCCCGATCAAATATCCCTCCAAATCTACAATTATTATTAAATTAAAGTTGTAACGTAAACCATGACCTTAATCAAAACAGCAATTAATCGTGATAATAACTGCCAAACAAAGTAAATGATGAGGTAAGATGAGTAACAATACCGGATAGGTGTTAATAATTCGTCGGACATCCGATTTCTGACAGCCCGTATCAACAACACCCGGAACTAGATCGAATTTAGAACGCATTAAATTAAAATTCGTCTGACCATTCTCAAACGAGACACATATAAAAAGGGATCGCACCCGAACATCGGCGCAATCGTCTAAAGAAACCTACTCTACTACCGACAAGACCTCTTCAGACCTCTACCTCTCATTCACGGAACTCGTTTGTGACTTGGTCGCCGTATCAACGCAGCATACAGGTATTTACTTTACGGTTTATAGAAACTCTCTAGATTCTAACTTAGACTAGTGTTAACGAAAAACTAATTAATAGCAAGAACCAATCCAGATCTGCTTACTTCGCTACGGGACTTCCGTTAATATCGGACTGTTTAAATGTCAGACTACCGTAACCCAATAGAATTGTTATTTAGGTGTGGAATGTATTGTTTAATCGTTTTCTTTTCGTATGTTTTTGCTATATTAAATTTGTTTCGCTTATGTTTGAATGTCATCCTTCGTGTATTGCCGACACTTTATTAACGACCTCACTAACCTTCCCACTTCTCAAAATTTTCGCCATTCATTGACACCGTGAACGGGATTTGCATTTCATCGTCGTTAAAGAGGAGATAAAGACACACCCCTGGACCTCCTCGGTTTCTCACACAAATTTTGCTATTTCTAGCAGAGGCAGTTGTTGAGCAGTTTGGCTAAATAACAATGGCAACAGCAACTACAAATCTAACTAGCTAAATTAAATATACTGTATTTAATGAAATATTCATCAAATGTAAAAACAATCGAATAATTGCACTCATTATTGCGTTTTTTAAATATAAAATATCAACATTACATGACACCAATCGTGTAGTACAATATATATAGTTGGCCAAATAAATATATATAGACCTATATATATAGTTGGCCAAATAAAACACAACACCATGATGGCCTGTAGATACTGAAACAATATTTATTAGACAAATAACATAAGACAGAAGGATGAAATGAGTAAATTGACAGCTCCGTTCGACTAGCAGAACGTGAAAAAAATCAATATTTTGTGCTGCCATCCTGAACAGCAATAACGGCTGTCACACACCGGGCATTGAAAGAGGCTTTCGATGATTGCGATATTATGCTGCTTCAACATGTTGCCAAAGTTCATCGGAAGTAGCAACAGATGGTGTGTGTTGTGCCAGTCGCAGGACGATCATTGACCAGGCGTGTTTGATAGGTAAAAAATCGAGAGAAAAAGCAGGAGGAAGGTGAGAAAGTAGAAACTAATGGCGTTCCAAACCATAACGCATGGCTACAGACGAGTATGGCGATGAAAATTACAAGCATAATGGAAGATCCTTCATGGTATTGCATTTGCTTGGCTAAGAGTCTATTTTTTTGTACACTTAAATATGTAAAAATAAAGAGATTAATGGTGCGGTTTATTTCAAAAACGTTAATTGTGAATTTCTTAAAAGTTGAAGGTTAAAATGTCTCGAAATAAAGCTATTTTTGACATATCACTTGTAAAGAGGAAATGATTTGCTTTGTTTTTCTTTCTAATGTCATGATGATTTCACTAATCTCTATTCAGTGACAGATCCGGGGAGCAAATTTTATAATTTGTGCTATAAAAATAGCAATAGGGTATATAAAAGTTTTATTGCTTTAAATAATTACTTGAAATAAATTAAAGAATACAAATCACATCAACATGTAACAAAATTGAAAATACTTTATTAAAATACTGTACATGAAATGAAATCAGTTATATAGATATATATCTACTAATATAAAAGTAATGTGCTTCTTTCTTATGATAATTATAATACAATAGCTTTGAAATATAGGAACGTTAAAGTTTGTTTTTACTCATGGACTCCTGAAAACTTTCTGTGGAATTCTTGGGGGATCGTGGATCTTTGGTAAATAAGTCCTGTCTTCGTTGAGGAAGTCCCTGCACCACGTTGTAGAGAAAAGTAGAAGCAACTTATGCAAATACATACTTTGATGAATATCTTGCGTAATTGGTGTTATAAATAAAAAAAATAAATAAATGCGTTAATAGTTTCGCTATTAACGCATTTATTGGCGGTACAGTTATTGGACACGTAAAGAAATTTTTATTGTAAAAATTCTATTACTTTAGAGAAAGATCAAAGCGAGCAATATGAGACTTACTTATGAATTCTTTATATGTACAGTACTGTACATGTATATTCTTACTACTGCCAACATCTAGAATATACAATTGCCAATCGTTTAACCCAAAATATGTCTTGTTTTACAAAAATGAAAAATTGTAGTTATTGGATACACGCAACAACAGAGAAACCTGTAGGAGTTTTGCTACCTACTGACAGCAAGAATTTGTATAAACGCTACAATGCAATATTTCCAGGATAGCTTTTATTCATTCATTTAACCCAGTGGTTTCCAATTAGTGGTACGCGTACCCCTGGGGGTACGCGAAATTGCGTGAAGGGGTACGCGCGGCAATTAAAATCGGTCGATTTAAAATTTAAATGCATGAGATGAAGCAATCAAAAAAAATAATGGGTGAATCACCAAAAATTCGGCAATTTACAACATAATGTCGAACGCACAAATTCGTTCATTTATAACTAAAAATATTCTCGAAATTTCATCAAAAAAATGCATTTGTGACAATACCTAAATGAAATTCTTGCGCAAGAAACAAAATTGTACAATTAACACAATTTGTTTTCGCGAAATTAATTTTGAAAATTTTTGTCGCTGTTATTTCTCGCGCGCGACAACGCGACTTCTCGCAGAGTATAATGAGACTTCACTGAGTTTAATAATCAGTTACTATATCTCGTTTCTAAAACAGGCTAAAATTTATGATATCAGCGAAGCGACAATAAAATATTCGCTACCATTTTGCGCAACATACCTCTGCAAGAGCGGATTTTCGGCCATGACAAACATGAAAACTAAACATCGTCACCGACTTCAACTCGAAGATGACTCGAGAATGAAGCTGACCAAAAAGCAGTGGCGTAGCGTGGGTGTCAGCTGCCTGGGGCGGAGGAAAATTTCACCGCCCCCTTATTTAGGTATCTCAATTTAAAAGACTAAAATTCAGTTTCGTCACAGAATAAGTAATGAAAAATTCTGTTTTTATTTCAATCGGTCCGAAACGTAAGTGCGACAAAAATATGAAATAAAATTGTTCAAATTTTTACAAGATATTATTTATTGCGAAATTTTGCCGCCCCCTAAAAGTGTTGCTCGGGGCGGGCCGCCCCTGCCGCCCCCACTATGCTACGCCACTGCCAAAAAGCAACCAGATTTTACAAAGCTGTGCAAAGAAACTCGTGCACATTTGTCGCATTAAAATTAAATAACCTTATGTTATTTTCATTATTATTAGAATTGTATTTTAAAAGTAATAAATGTAAAAAAAAACTTATTTCATTTATTACTAGCTGTGTACCCACAGCTTCGCCCGCATTAAATCGAATTTTTTCGTGAGAGTAAGGGTGCGACTATGCAGACGCGAATTTAGAGCGAGCGAGAGGTTGCGAGCGATCTAGTTTTCGCAAAGGAAAACCATGCATAAACGTTAGTGGGAAGCGAATTTCTGGTTCTCGCACATATCTGACTGGTTTTGATATTTATCGCGTCTCGCCTCTTCTCGCCACATATTCTCGCTCGCTTGGAAAATTCGCTCGCTCGCGTCTGCATAGTCGCAGACTAAGATATTTTCTTGCAGTAAAATGTAGCCTATGTCCATCTCTAACATGTAAGCTATCTCTGTGCCAAATTTTATTAAAACCCGTTTAGCGGTTTAGACGTGAAAAGGTAACAGACAAACAGAATTGCCTTCGAATTTATAATATTAGTATGGATTAATATGAATTTCTGCTATAAGGGGTACGCGAGTTTTAGCTCTTTTTTGAAGTGGTACGTAGGAAAAACTAATTGAGAAACACTGATTTAACCTATATACAGTATAGGCTATACATGCACAATTATTACAAATTATCGTCATCAATGTTATTTCAATGCTTTAGACGTTTTAATTATTACAGTATGTATTTTCCTCTCAGTACAGTAGTCGAAAATGTGTGGTATTTCTTACGACAGTTATACGCTAGATGACTTATTATCAATTATTAAATATTTAAAATCTTACAGTCTTTAATGTTAAGAGCAATAAAACTAAAATACAGTAGACCCCTGTAACGTGGGTTCCTATAACGGAAATTCCTATAACTTAGCGACAAAATTGCGGCAGTATTCTTATAAAGGGACTCGTAAAACGTCGTCGCCGACTCGTGTCGCGACAAGATTGATCGAATCTGTACCAGTAGTGGACGAGCAGCCGAACTACTTTCCGCTGTCCAGCGCCACGCTATGGAGAGTTTAGGCGGGTAAATTGAGTTTGCTATCGTCTGTACAGTATTATATATAAATTATATATAAATTAGGCACTGTATATATAATTATATATTAACTTAATTTATTGTAACTTTATTATAATTATATATATTTTTTTTCTTGCCGTCTAGCGCTACGCTGCGGAGAGTTTAGGCGGATAAGTTGAGTTTACTATCGTGTATCGTCTGTACAGTATGTAAATTAGGTACTGTAAGTCTAATACAGTACTGTAATTTTATACATTTCTTCTGAAAGAAACATTTCTTATTTAACGGCCATTAAAATTATTTATATTAATGATGTCTCCAAAGGTCAACGAATTTTTCGCAAAAAAATAATTTATCAGAAAACGCGGCCGCCGTTTGGTGCGCTGCTCCGCGAGAAAACAAGCGTAAGCAACGGCGTAGTCGAACGGTGCACACTCAGTAAGTAATCCTACAATTTTTTGTTTATAGCATAGTTTATACGGATTATTCCCAAAAAATTATACGTGTTTTGGAAATGTTGAGTGGAATTAGTCTAGAATCGGTTAATTTTATAGAAGAAAACCTTTCAAACAGGCTTAGTCCGTAAACTTCACACCTATCGGGCTGCGATTGGCTCGTGTATTTAAGGATTCCTACAACGTAAAATTCTTATAAAGTGGAACGTATCTAAGCGTTATAGGGGGGCCTACTGTATCTAATAATTGTAGTCATATTCAGTTACTTCGTTTAATGTTATCATCCAAATTAGTGTTATTAGCGTTTTTTAACGCTAATAACGAAGTTTTATTTGTTATATTTGTTATATATTTGTTATATATGAAGTTATATTTGTATAATAACACGAAGTTTCTTTACAGTAAGCGAATTCTATTGTATTTGAAATACTTCGGTTTAGTGTCAATTTTCAATTTCAGAAACAACAAATGCTAACGTTAAATGAAATTTTGATTACATCTTTATTTTTACTTTCCAGGCTCTGTTATACATGACAGAAGAAAAGTATGGTGATCGATCAAAAACGACCACCCAAGATTTTTACATCTTTTGACTCAGGGGACTTTGAGACGTCGAGAAATGCAAAAATTCCGTATAAATGCTAGTGTATGGGGGACACGATTTTGTTAACCCTGTTTGAAGCTTAATAACTTATCTGCTTTTGTCGAAAATTTCTGAAATTTTGCATGAAAGTTTGTGTATTAACAAATTGTTACTAAAAGTCGATAACTAATAAAATCGTCATTAATTTCGACTCTACATGAACTCTATCTCATCAAAATTTAACTGCATTAATCAGAAATTTTTTATAAAAAGCACAAGAGTCATTAAGATTGAAACTGAGTTTAGAAAATCGTGCTCCTCCCAAACACAATACACTCACCCTTCTCTACCCAGAAAAACCCATTATTTGTATCTCTGGACGTTTTAAGTTTCCGAGTCCAAAAATGTACAAATCTTCAGGGTTCATTTTTTGATCGATTGTCATACTTTCCCTCACTTATATATAACTGTCGGAAAAGTAACAAGATTCTGTCTCTAGTTACCAAATTCATACTTCGATCAGGATAATGAGTTCTTGATCCTGATCGAAATTAACTATATTTTAAATTATCTAAAATATTGAAGAGCATAAAGATCTGAAAATTGAACGACCTCCTCTTAAGATTTTTTGATATTAACACGAGCTGTCATTTCTTTAAAATAATATTCTTATGTTTCAATAGATTGCTTTTAGTTTGTTACAGGTTGAAGTAATTTATGCTCTTTATTATTTCACTTCTCTTATTAAGTTTTTAACTCTTTGCCCAATGTGCACCAAATTTTGATATTTATTCTCAGAGACCTGAGAAAAATCTGCATGCTACCACATGACTGTGACATGAATATATCACATGATATATGAATGTCACATGAATATTCATGAAACTATGACTGAAAAATACTGTACTTGAAATCCCATAAAAAAACTGGTGAAACCAGGTTTTAAAGTAGAAGTCAGTGGAAACATTTAAATGTTGTCGTTAGGGTTTCTCATTTCCCGGTCTTTTGCTTGTTCCGGGATCCCGGGATAAAAATGAACTGTTTCCCGGGATCCCGGGAATTCCCGGGATAGAATCAATTATTATTAAGGTATACAAAATATCTTGAAATCAAATGATATAATTATTTTCCATTTTTAAAGTAATTTTAAATTCTGTAACCTCGAAAATCATATTAATAATGCTGTGTAAGGTCTATAGGCCTATAATAAAAATTACCTTTAAATAACGTAGAAATTTTCACAAATAGAAAAAAATTAATTAAAGTTTGCTGGAAACTGCATACAACAACAACAAAAAAATGTTTTGAATTGAGTTAAAAATTAAAAAAAATGAACTTCTAATTTAGAAGGTAATTTTCGTTTTTTAAATAAAATATAATACAAAATATTGCAAACTTTTATAAGATTTTAAAAAGCAAAGATGGTCAATACTCCGATAACTCACTCTAATTCTTATTTTAGTAATGAAAAGTCTTGCCACCGAGAATGCCCTTTCCGATTCAATTGATGTGATTGGAATAGTGTTTAATGCATTTAAGAGAAGACAGATATTATGTGTTTTTTCACCTGTAGCCTGGAAGATTTCGAGTTCGTTTTCGAGATTGTAGTACTTCTTTCGCTCTCTAGTATTCTTGATTTGTCTACCTTGGCTGCTTTAATAGCGGCATCAAGCTTAGAGCTCGATAATTCGGCAATTCATTTGGCTTTAATAATCAGGTTTATGAAGAAAAACTTCATACTTGCAGACTTTGTACTCGCTTGTATCCTTGCCCAATTTGCACAATCTGGCGTCAGGCATTTATTGAAGCTACTGGGCATGGTTAAAAATCAAGACAGCGTAAGCACAATTATTCCAGATATTACAGGTTCCGACAAGTAGAGAATTTTTATAGTCCTGCCACAAATAAGCTATATATTGATTATTGACCATTTGTGACATGCTATAACGAGCAAAAATTAAAAAAAAACTAATAGGTAGGTTTAAAATTAATAAATACAAATGTATTCTGACAGTGAATGAGTTAATTATGCATTCTATTTGCAAAATTCCTCAACCTTAACACAAAATAAGAAAAAAAGTGAATTTTTAAGAAATTTGCGAGATTTTCCGGGATAAGAAAAATTTCCCGGGATATTTCCCAGGTTAAAAAAACAACCGGGATCCCGGGATCCCGTTTGAGAAACCCTAGTTGTCGTATAAGAAGTGGAAGCAGATTTAACACTTTTAACATAATATGTGAATAATGTGCACATTACACAGACTACAACTATAGGAAGTTTTGGAGGAAGCAGCCATCATTATAATAAATCGGAAAAATAAACGTCGTCACAGATAAAGGCTTTACTTTGTGCCTTAATGTCGAATTGCACTACATTAATTAGTTGAACGTTACAACATGTTTGAGTAGTACTAGCGAAGGAAGTTTGAGACACCTTATTCACATGTTAAGTCTTACTGTCAAATCTGCTTCCGTATTCTTATGCCACAACATTTAAATTTTCTTTATTTAGCTGTTTATCCTGAGCTCTACTTTTTCAACCTGGTTTCACCAGTTTTTTATGAGATTATTAAAGCATTAAAACTTTTATATATTGCTTTTTTCATTGCACAAATTAAAAAATTTGTTCCCGGATCCGCCATTTGGGAACAAATAGTGAAATAAGTGAAACTAGTCTGCCATCCGGGAACAACTAGTGAAATAATCATGACAAAGAAAAACAAAGCAAATAATTTCCACTTCAGCTAGTGATATGTCAAAAATAGCGTTACTTCAAAACATTTTCGATGAGTAAATAAACATATTTTAATACATAATTAATGCCACATAATGTTCATATTTTATATTTTAAAAAATCCATCAACCAATTAATTAACTTTCCCGGAAATATTAAGTGACTCCGTCTGTTATCATATTTTATTAAAAAGTATTTTATATTTTTAAACTATTATAAATGGCAAAATGCTTATGAATCGTAAATGCTAATAATAAATAAAATCTTTATTAAGTATGATCTCACTCGAAATGTGACACGTAACTCTCTCTTTCTCTCCACCCCTTCTACCTTTAATTAATCATCAAAATTTAATAGCATCAATCCCCCTAATACACAAACATTCCTGCGAAATTTCAGAAGTTTTTGACAGAAAGCACAAGAGCATATAAGTTATTAAGCTTCAAACAAAGTGAACAAAATCATGCATCCCCACACAATAACTATACATATATAAAACATCTATACATACATAAATTACCAACGACTTTTTTGAATTCTTCGACAATTTAAGGTGTCCAAAGTCCAAAAATGTAAAAATAATGAGGGGTGTCATTTTTGACCGATTGCCATACTTTCCCTCTATCTTATATACTCGTAAGTTATATAAGATTAATAATTCTGGTGCTTTTTGTCGAAAATTTTGAAATTTTGCGGAAAGAATTGTGTATTAGGGAGATTGATTCTATTAAATTTGTATTGTCACTGGTAGAGAAAGTGATGAGATAAAGGAGGTTCGTTTGTCATATCTCTAGTAGGACAAACATAACCCTACTCGTTATTAGCATTTACAATTTTTTATATTGTACAAAATATGCATTTTTAAGTGTTTATATGTTAGATATTTATTCTGTAAAATCATTATAAAAGTTAATAGATTTAAGGAACGTTATTATATTTTTAATCCTTCAATATAATTTGATTAATTTTATTATTTCTTTTTATTTCCAGAAATTGCGATGTCGTCTTTAAGATTCATTGGTATCTTTTTATTTCTGATAAATTTGGGTAAATTTTTTATTTATTGCTTTTTTTTTCTTTAATTTCTTAAATAAATGGAACTAATTACATGTTTTACATATCAATAATTATTTCAAAATTTATCATTAATTACAAAACTTTTTAATTTTAGATGTAAAGATTTGGATAATATTTTACTTTATTTTTTCAAATTTTATAAAGTATTTCTTAATTAAATGATTCGAAATTATTTTATAAAATTATTAATTAATATATTACGTTTAAAGCACTATCCAATTATAAGATATTCTAGAACAGGTGTTCCCAACCTGCTCATTAGTGGTCTTTATAGAGATCGATAAATTACTAGACATCGTTTGAGGCACAGGAAGTATTATTAAAATGACGTGTTTTATACAAAATTGCGCATTTTACTTTACTAAAATTTAAAAATTTATGCCGTGTTTTGAGACATTTTTCAAGAATTGACTACCTGCGAAGATCTAAAATGGCGTTTTTAGAAATTACACCAGCCAAGAGACCTGGAGGTAGAAAAGGGATAAAACAAGTACTTGGGATCATAAAAATAAATCATTAGGGATCTAATAGAAGGGTGACCTATGGCTTTTATTTTATCCAATTTTTAATGTATTCTTATCTTGAATCACCAAATATCGTAGTACATATATTAAATTCAATTTTAGAACAGGATCGACAAGCAGTAAAGATTGGGAACTCCTGTTCTAATGTGACCACAAAGTCTCTTTGCGTGTTATGTTGCTTTCTATTCACAAATTTGAAGTTTTTATTATGCTCATGGAGACTTCTTCCATGTTGACACTGGAATTAAGAGTTTACAGATAACTGTTTTTAGATCTTTATCTGATGTGGAAAAAAGCGGAATTAAACAGTTTTTTTCACACTGTTCCAAAGCGAATTGTCACATGTTAGGTCTGGATTTTGCAAAAGCGCATCGGATAGTTCTTTTGCGATACGGTACTTTCTACCTGGGAGGTCCACAACACAATCTCATGCATAGAGACTCTTTGGTCACTCAGTGCATAAAACAGTCACTCTTAAATTGATTGTAATTCATTTGTTTTTCGTCTAGAATACTTTGTATTTGGCCAAAGAGAAATTCGTTTTGTTCCAACACTTAATGGCAAACCGTTCAAATGTGTTTTTTGGACTGAGATGATACGTCATAATTGCAAACGTCTGTGTATGAAGCATTTTCCTGCACACGGAGGTGGATGTACCTTGTTTAAATGTTATTGCTTAATATGTGAAGATTAAATTTATCTTTTTCTCACTTAAGAAAATATGGATTTACAGCTTCAAACCTTCATGATTTTTAACGCTGTCTCAATGTTGAAAATTTTAAATATAAAAGTTTATTTTATAATAGTATTGTGAACTAAATTTACTAGTCAAACGAATTAAGTTCATCGATTATGTTGATTTATGGTATATAGTTTGAATTACGTGAAGAAATGTATTACAAATAAAATTTTGTAACTACTTAAGTTTTCTTTAAGTAAATATTTAGTAATCACAGAAGACAAAATCATCAAACAATACTGTATATACAATATAAATATTTAATCTATCTTCAAAAAAACTTATTCAGACATTATTTAAAAATCAAACCAAAAATTTTAAGTGTAATCTAACATTTTAAAATATTGCCGACTCAGTCATTTTTATATGAATAACAACATTAACAATATATTACTTTACGTTCTTGCTGATATATATCAAGTGGTAGAAAAATTGCACAGAAATAACTCTTAATTGTAAATCAAATATATTGTATCAAACGATATTCCAAAGCAAAAGTTTTATGTGTAATCTATTTTGTATCATACATTATATTTTGCCATAGAAATTTGTAATCCAGTATATACCAAATCTACACTACTAACGTGTACATTAATTTTAGCACTGAGTACATATGATATTAAACAGTATAATTTTGCACCATATTTTGCATATAATTTTACACAAAGTTATATGGTTTAAATTATATGGTTTAATATGACAGTTTAATAAGAGAATGACAGATATGGATGTCCAAATGATGTGATAGGAGAGTTGCTTCTTAAGACAAGAATTACTATTTGTTTACAACTATTTCATACTATTTACACATAAAAAGTATTTTAGTGGATTAAATTTTCTTTTATCATTTTTTAGATTAATACAAATTTAATTTAACAGATAAAATGAATTATATCAATTTCACTGACATGTTAATGGAAATAAAAAGAAAAAAAATATTTTAAAAATTGCTTCTGTTTCTACTTAATGCAATAATGTGACATTACACTTATTTATTTATGTATACGAATGCAGCAAACTTTTGATAATTTATTATTGTCATGTTGATCCGGGACAGCTCTAGCCCTCTTGCCTATAAATACCTCTAATGTAAAGAAAATAAATGCTAACAAATAACCTGACAAAAGAAGAAAAAAAGCCCCTGAAAAGTTTGATAAATTTAATGATTCAAATTGATTTTTCACTTTCTTATTTCCTTGCTTTGTATCCATCATCTTTTGAAGTATTCCGGTTTCAAACGCTTGAGAAACCCTAAAATTAGAATTAGAACAATTTATATTTATGTACTGAAAAGTAATAATTGTAAGTAAATAATAAAATCGAATACAGAGCTGAGCATATTAATTACATACCTGAATGTAAACATGTGTTTCTGGGGAATACATAGCTGTGTTTTAAATATTTAGATATATAAGTAGTAGTGGTTTGGGCCATACTGATCACAAAATTAATTTCAGATGTCGATTAAATTAAAATTGCAAGTAAAAATTTGTTGAATGGATTTATTTCAGATTATAAAATTAATTTTTTGAGTAAATTACTATCGAATAAATTAAAATTGTAAATAAAACTTTGTTGAATGTATTTATTAAATATCGTAAAGAGAACAATTCTTTTTAAAATATTTGTAGTATTAACAAATTTTTTAATATTATCCAACCTTAGACATCTAAAATGTTTGATGTCTAAATAATTGTAGGTAACAGTTTTTAAAAATATTTTTTTAATCTTATCTATCCACCTTTAAATAAAAATAATTCATTATATGTTGTGAAATAATTTAACAACTTTTGTAAATTACTGTGTTTGATCTCGCCAGTTATATCCAATGTTTTTTGTCTATAAAATTTAATTCATGAATTTTTTTGCTAGTAAAATCGACTTGCCATTGATCTTTCGCTGATAATTGATACTTTTTAACAGAATCTATATAAATGTCTATTACAGCTTCTATAAGACTGTGAAACGTTATGACCAACTGTCGATAACTTGAAATGCTTCAAAATCTATTAGCATCGCATTCTGTAATTTATATAAATAAAAATTAGGATTAGTATTATTTTATATTTAATAAGAAAATAACAAAATGATTTCATACATAAATATTTTTTACTGGCCATATAGAATGTTCATTGATATACCAACTGTTTTGTCTTCTTATTTTTGATGTTATATCACGATTAAATTCAATTATTTCATCCATTTTATCAAATTGTTAATTTGAAACTTATGTTTTTAAAATTAAAAGAATTTAGTTTTAATTTTCTGATTACAAATTTGAATTGAATTAAATTTTATTTTAATAATAAGTTTAATATATTCCATTTAATTATTAAATTTATTATAAAATTAAGTTGTACTAATTTGTAATAATAATAAAAAATTGACACCTACTCACTTAGAATAAATAATTAATTGTTAAAAAATAAACATTTGATAATTAATTTCAAATTGTTGTGTTTTAATTTACTCAACGAATTTTTTTAAAATTATTATTACAAATTAGTACAACTTAATTTTATAATAAATTTAATAATTAAATGGAATATATTAAACTTATTATTAAAATAAAATTTAATTCAATTCAAATTTGTAATCAGAAAATTAAAACTAAATTCTTTTAATTTTAAAAACATAAGTTTCAAATTAACAATTTGATAAAATGGATGAAATAATTGAATTTAATCGTGATATAACATCAAAAATAAGAAGACAAAACATTTGGTATATCAATGAACATTATATATGGTCAGTAAAAAATATTTATGTATGAAATCATTTTGTTATTTTCTTATTAAATATAAAATAATACTAATCCTAATTTTTATTTATATAAAATTACAGAATGCGATTCTAATAGATTTTGAAGCATTTCAAGTTAAAGATCGTGAAATTATTTATCGACAGTTGGCCATA